TAGGCTACCGGACTCGTAATCGTGAGGTTGTCGGTGGTCTAGTGATTAGGCTACCGGACTCGTAATCGTGAGGTTGTCGGTGGTCTAGTGGTTAGGCTACCGGACTCGTAATCGTGAGATTGTCGGTGGTGTAGTGGTTAGGCTACCGGACTCGTAATCGTGAGATTGCGGGTTCGGGGGTTCGAGCCTCAGCTCGGTCCGACGCTGTGTCCTTGGGAAAGACACTTTACTTTACACGAATTTCCCACTTGGCTCTGTCCTTTCGGAGACGGACGTTAAACTAGGAAGCCCGCGCCTCTGAAATAACCTAATAGTGTTGATAGGGGCGTTAAACCCACACCATTTCACCATTTCACCTTTTCACCTCTTCCTCTCGTGAGGCGCGCTGTTGACACAATGACTTTTTACTTCTCGCAATCCACAAATGGAGATATTGACAAAAAATCGACACTAGAATCAAATGTGTAGATTTTTCAATTGATGCCATATATTCTTTCAGAATAATAACCCTTTTATTATTTCATACTTCTAAATTGTAAAAACTTCACCTATACGCGTGATGTATCTATTTCCATAGGTCTCGAATCCGAGAAATTACTAATTTTGTCAACACCGTTCGCACTGATGGGTGTGCACATTGTCAATAAATAATTAATAATTATGCAATAAATAAATCACACCCTAGAGAAATGTGGAATACCGCATACGAACATGATACATAATTATGAATATTATGATGGCGATCGCTACAAAAGGACGGAATTTAACTTAAAACGGGCTTTCTTCTTACACATTTGATCTCAATGAAAATACAATAGTGCAACACTACGTTTCATGTTATGGGTACTGGCAAAGTACAAAGTTTCGTATTTTTTCACTGGATAGTTTCTGAGAATATGATGTTCGCAAAATTTGGCCTTAGCTCCATCAGTAGTAGGATCAACACATAAATACCCATATAGATCTAAATGCGGGTGGTTGGAGGGCGCCTCTGGCAGATCCTACTTTTTAAATTCTCCCTCTGTTGCTTCTGTCTGTCTTACTCTTTCTTATCCCCAAATGACCACTATTGTGTCCATGTGCTGTGGGTTTTTTTGCGCGAACAATTAGAACCTCCTGTCCCCTCCCC